AAAAACTAAAATAAAATAAAAAACTTTAAGAAATAAAAAATATATATAATATAAATAAATTGAAAAAAGTGTTATATAATTAGGGTGCCTAATGTAAACCAATAGATCGGACAGGCCTCTTAGATACAAGGAGACCCTCTTAATATGATATACCTTGTATTTTACAATGCAAAATAATTAAAATTACAAAACATTATACTGTAAATAAATATATCAATAAAATAATTATAAAAAACATCATTTCACTCATATATATGAAATACATTACATCTACTTGTTATATTCCTTTACAAACATTTCTATGATCTTACTAATTTTCAAACCACATCTGCTTATGAAATCTAAGTTAAAAAAGGAAAAAGTTTTCAAGACTTTTGTTTTTTTAATAACTCCAACGTTGAACCTATTGGAGAAAACAAAATTAGAAAAATTAATTAACATATTTCCGGTTCTTTCCCCCTTTGTCTTTTTGGAATTAATAATATGTTTTTCCTTTCCCCAAAAGAGCCAAAACACACTTTATCTGCTCTATATGATACTAGTAAAAATTAGTATTACTCGTAATTACTCCTTGGTTAATTTAGTTGTTTCCACGGTTAACCATTTCCTTGGTACTGATTAAGCGATTCCAACCTCAACAACCTCATCTCCTCGTTGAACTTCTTTATAAATGCCTCAACTCGTCGATTCTAGTCGTCCTGATTCAGCAACGGTTCCTTTCTCAGCTTCAATACTGAAGCCGGGGACGAGCTCACTTGCACCGGTGACATCTGGAAATTGGTCTGGTCCTTGGACGTTTCCGATTTCTTCACCACCGGCGACGGCTCAGCGAGCGAATCCACGTTCACCTAATTCTCTCATGTGTCCTCGAACGCCTCTGATTTCTTCAGGTGCCTCGATAACGGCATTTCCTTCTTCTCCGTAATCATTTTCCACGTGCTCTCCATCGTCTCGTGCCGTTTCGGCTTCTCGACTCTCAGCATATCGACTACCTAGTTAACAACAAATAGAATATACAGAAAGAATTATTAACGAAATTAACATTTTGTCAATCTTGATTCCGAAATTTAAACATGCAGGAGAAGGATATTTTAGACTTTTGAGCAGTGCATCAAGCAGACGCCATTGTTGTATGTTTTGAGCAAGAAAATAACGTTTCTTGTGAAGAACAGAAAAATCAAAAGCCCCGCCAGAGAAATCTCACCAACGACGACCAAAAAGCCTGTAGAGTCCTCTTTTTTTTCTCTCATTAGGGATTTCCACGTCTAGTTTCTCCTTTGGCCCCTCGATTTCGTTTTTGTCCTTAGCCGACCTTTTTCCTTCGTTTTCATCTCGGATTTGCACCACCATGTGCGACGGCAGCTCTAGGGCTTAAGCGTCTGGGGAAGTGAATCTCTGTTTCCTAATTTTCGA